CGACTGACAAAAAAGTCGGTGGTGTTTCGTTGGGGGCCTGAGCAGCAGGTAGCATTTGAGACCCTCAGACAGAGATTGTGCGAGGTGCCAATTCTTACCCTATCAGAGGAAGTAAAGGATTTTGTAGTTTACTGTGATGCTTCAATCACAAGTATAGGAGTAGTGTTGATGCAACGGGGCCATGTGATAGCTTACGCCTCTAGATAGTTGAAGCCTCACGAGGCTAACTATCCGACGCATAATTTTGAGCTGGGGGCAGTGGTGTTTGCCCTTAATATTTGGAGACATTACCTCTATGGGGTCTGTTGTACCATTTACACAAATCAAAAAAGTTTGAGGTACCTCATGGATCAACAGAATTTAAACACGAGGCAAAGCCGATGGTTAGACGTGGTAAAGGATTATGATTGTGAGATCCTTTATCATCCAGGTAAGGCCAACATAGTGGCTGACGCCTTGAGCAGCAAGGCGGTGCCAGCCCCGATCAGGGATATTTGTTTCAGTATGATAATGATTACTCCCATGTTGGAGCAGATTAGAGAGGCATAGGTTGAGGGCCTGGAGGAGGAGAGGCAGAAGTGCGAGAGGATCGTGGGCCAAGTTGCCTCCTTTGACTATGATAGTCGAGGATTGTTGACCCTTCATAGGAGAGTATGGGTACCATACTGGGGCAGAGTACGACAGTTGTTGATGGATGAGGCTCATAAGTCTCGTTTCTCCATCCACCCAGGGGCGACGAAGATGTACATAGATCTTTGACCTGACTATTGGTGGCCCTGCATGAAGCAGGACGTGGCCTGGTATGTGGAGAGTTGTTTGACCTACAGGAAGGTCAAGGGAGAACATCAGAGACCCCACGGCAAGATGCATCCGTTCGACATTCCCGTGTGGAAATAGGAGGACATCACCATGGATTTCATCACTTAGCTTCCCAAGACCGGACATGGAGTTGATTCGATTTGGGTCATAGTGGATCGGTTGACCAAAAGCGCGCATTTCATACCGATTCAGGAGAGCATATCGGCCGAAAAGCTAGCCGATATTTATGTGCGAGAGGTAGTGGCACGGCATGGAGTACCTGTTTTGGTAGTATCAGACCAAGACGTCTGTTTCACTTCCAGGTTTTGGAAGCAGGTTCATGACGAGATGGGTACTTGTCTCCATTTTAGCACCGCTTTCCACCCCAAACAGATGGGCAGAGAAAGAGAGAGAGAGAGAGAGAGAGAGAGAGAGAGAGAGAGGACAATTCAGACTCTCGAGGACATGCTTCGGGCATGTGTCCTAGATTTCGGTGGCAGTTGAGATACGTATATTCTATTAGCGGAATTTTCTAATAATAACAATTACCATGCTAGTATTGACCGCTCTCCTTTCGAGATGCTCTACGGGAAGAAGTGTAGGACCCAAATTTGTTAGGGCAAGGTCGGTCATCGAGTAATCAAGAGTACTGAGGTGGTGCTCAAGACCACAGATTTGATCCAACAGGTCCATAGCAGACTGCAGACTGCGCAGATTCAGCAGATGAGATACGCCGATTGGAGGCGTTCGGACTTGGAGTTTCAGGTGGGTGATATGGTCCTCCTGAAGGTATCACCCTGGAAGGGTGTTATCAGCTTCTAGAAGAGGGGAAAGTTGGGCCCCAGGTTCATTGGTTCGTTTAGGGTTTTGGCCTAGGTGGGTCGGGTTGCTTAATGGTTGGATCTTCCAACAGAGCATAGCCAGATCCACAACATTTTCCATGTTTCTTAGTTGAGGAAGTGTCCGGTGGACGATTTAGCAGTTATACCATTGGAGGATATTCAGGGTGATAGCAGCTTGAATTATATTGAGAGGGCCGTTGCGATCTTGGATCAGAAAATGCAGACCTTGAGGAACAAGGTAGTCCAGCTAGTGAAGGTGTTGTAGCAGCAACGGAAGGGTTCAGAGTGGACGTAGGAGGCTGAGGAGGAAATGAAGGAGCATTATCCAGAGATATTCATAGATTCAGAAGCAGCAGACTTCGAGGACGAAGTCAAAGATAAGTGGGGGAGATTTTTAATGCCCCATTTCTGGTATGTGGTTTAAATAAAGTAATTTTCATTCTTAAGGGGTACTCGACGAGTCAGTAGCCCGACTCGTCCAGTAGAGTCAGAATTTTCACGCGGTTTAACTTGGCAACTCGACGAGTCCATATTATCGGACTCCGCGAGTCTGCCAGTCTGGATGAAACCCTACTTTCATCGGTTTGCACCCTATTTAAATGTCATTATATCCCCAAACCAGCCTCCTTTACCTCCCAGACACTTATTCCCGAAACCATAGCCTTATTGAAGCGTGTGTGAGTGATCTTTGCCATGTGAAGGAACTTTTGGTGCATTTTGGAGCAAGGAGAAGAAGGAGAAGGTTGAAGAACTCAAGGAAGAAGAAGTAGATCCATAATACACTCCTCTTTGGCCATCCCTTATGGTAATGAAGTTTTCATCTTGATTATTGTGCTAATAGATCTAGTTTGTCCCCAAATTGTTGGTTTTAAGCTAAAAAACCCAAAATCCTTTATGATAATGCCTTCTGATCGAGTCATATATTAGATCTAGCCTCTCTTGAGCTCCAGAAGCTCAAGGAGACGCCTTTTTGTACCCATGGATTTGTTTTAGTCAAGTAACTCCCCCCCCCCCTTTAATAGCAAAGAATGAGTGTTATCGCTTCATTGCATCTTAGATACACGTAAAGTTAGCAACTTTACGTGTTCAGATAGTCCCAAAAGCTTAGATCTATGAATTGGATGCACTAAAGTTGATTAGAATCGACTATATGGAATCTTCATGCAAAGGACTCGACAAGTCGTTCTTCTAACTCGACGATTTGGGTCGCGAGTCTTAGATTCCCGGTTCAGTAGTAGCGAGCATGTGTAGTGAGTAGAGTAAGGACTCAGTGAGTTAAGACTTGGATCTGGAAGCAGACGTACTCGACGAGTTATTTGTACTACTCAGCGAGTCATAGATTGGGTGTGTTCTTCGGTTGAAGGGGAACTCGACGAGTTGTTCATACAACTTGGTGAGTCAGATGAAGATTAGACTCGATGTTAGTACCGAAGAAGAACTCGTCGATTCTTTGCCAAACTCGACGAGTAGAAGTGAGTAGAGGATTAGAATGGATAATAGGGACTCGGCGAGTTGGCGACCCAACTCGGCGAGTCCGGTCAACTAAAAGTTGACTTTGACCAGGAAGATGACTTGACCAGGGGTAAAGTTGACTTTGACCAGAATTAGAATGGATAATAGGGACTCGGGGAGTTCCGGAGCAGCTGTCAGACCGTTTCAGATCTAGCAACTTCGCAGCCAGCGTTGCAAGGTGAGTTTCCTTCCAGTAGGAACGAGTCTACGGCCACAATGTCGGCCTATTTGTTTAGAATTAGTTCTGGACTTCGGTTCGATGCAGTACTTCAGGGTGCTTGTTGTCTTTGTGATTCAAGCATGTGTTTGTGTTATGCGTTCTAGACTTCGGTCTGATGCAGTATGCATTATATGTGTGTATGCTAGTAGTTATGATTATGCAATTTTTAGTCAATTTCCAGACTTCGGTCCGATGAAGAGGGCAAGGCCCTGGTTAGTTCCGGTCTTTGGTTCGATGTAGTTTCCGGACTTCGATCCGATGCAGAGGGCAAGGCCCTGGTTAGTTCTGGACTTCGGTCTGATGCAGTTTCTGGATTTTGGTCCGATACAGAGGGAAAGGCCCTAGTTAGTTTCCGGACTTTGGTCCGATGCAGTTTCGGGACTTTGGTCTGATGCAGTTTCCGGATTTTGGTCTAATGCAGTGGGCAAGGCCTAGTAAGTGCTTTATATGTTGTTCTATGGTATGTGGTAGTTTGGAGGAGCTTACTAAGCTTCATGCTTACAGTTTCAGTGTTGGTTTCAGGTACTTCAGGTAGCAAGGGGATGGGCTCAGGATGATGGCATGGTACCCACCATAGTTTAGCCTGGGAGTTAGACTCTGATATTTTGTCATGATTTCATATCAGTGTTTGATATGAGACATTTTATGATATTTTGAGATACACGACTTATGGTTTTATTATATGATACTTTGATATTTTGGTTTTAGTAATGTGTTCAAACAAAAAATTTTTGCTTGTATTTTATGGATGTTTCAAATACATTTCTTTAAAGAAATGTTTTGATAAATTTTTATCACGTTTTGTTTTGGGAAAAAATTCCGCAACAATTTTCTTTAAACGATTACTTTGATTTTAAAACAAAACATAAACAAATAGGTATTTTCTGGCCGCAAATTTGGGGATGCACATAATCTCACTGAAAAACAAACAAATGAAAGTAAAAAGATAAGAAGAACTCCAACAAAAAAAATTAAACTAAAATTAAGAAGTTTTAAAATTCAATAACTACCCATATATGTTTCTTTAGAGGATCACATCATTCATATAGTTATTCAAAAACTCTCTAGATCAGGTAGCAATAGTTGCAAGCAACTCCTTTTCCTCAATGAGACTTTTGTCATGCCAAATGCTACCAGACTATAGTAAATCTATAATTAAACATATTCATTAACAAAAAAAATATTTTGTTGCAATAGACAAAATGAACAAATATTGAAAAGGTAGTTACTTTACTTGGAAATCCATGTTGTCTTGTCATCAAGAAAGCAAACATCCATCGCATTACATAATGCCTAGTCTCTAAACCACCAAGTTGTTGGTTGCACTAAAAAATGTAGCAAAAAGTGAACATTAATCAAATAAATGAAACTACAATTTTCCGTCGTGCAGACGAATGGAATCAATAAGATAACTAACAACACCCTCTGGCTTTTTCTGGCATGCCTCCCCTAGAATATTATAAGGGTTCAAGAAAGCACATTTGTTCATACGTGTCCGAACCATTGAATGAAGAATCCTACAAACAAGAAAACAAAAAATGTTACGGTCTACTAATAATAGCAAATTTTTAATGGACTTATAGTTGCCAAGCAGTCAAGATGGAAGCATCGGTTGTTTGTTTTCTCATCTATCGAAAATATTCTTCACTTGTAACCGAAAAATCATATGTCCCGACTTCCAAGATCCCAGAATTGGCTACAATGTTAACCAATGGGTTCGTCTTCAAGTAATCATGAAGATATTCAATCGGCCTTGCCTTGCTGGCTGGTTGGTTGGGTATGTTCTTGTTTGTACCAACCCTTACATTTGTTGGCACCAAACTTGTGCTTGGAATTTGTTTCTTAGTTCTTTGTTCCTACACTTTAATTCATTTTACTATCACATACAATTACAATTTGTTGTTAATATAGTAGCTTAAAAATTAAAGGATAATGCATACGTACCTTTGCGAGAATAATTTCAATCCCGAGCCATAGAATTAAAGTGCCAACCACCTTTTGTAGGTTAACAACTTCTTTTGTCATCATAGGAACAGGAAAATTTTCATATCTACAATCGATGTCGTCTACCAGAACCTTCTAGTGATTTTCTCGTAAAGGCAATGTGTGTATTAACTCATTCCCATATGGAATGACCAATCCTTTAGAATATTTTTGGTCTAACTCCCGATAGGGTAACATCAATTCACAAGGGGTTGGCATCTATAAACATATAGTAAAACATAAATAAGAATAAAAGATCTTTGAAGGATAATAAATAAAAAAAGTTCATAATAATGTAATAACTATATTTGAATTTTTAACCATTTGAAGTATATCTATTATAGTTCAAACCCTTATTACAAAACATTTTAATTAAAAGACTAGAGTGTTTTGTCTCAATTATACAACCAAAATGATGATATTAAGGTAAACTCAAACACAATTCTTACAATGTTGCATTTTCTAACACAAATATTATAATAAAAGAATTTGTGCAAATATAAGAATAAAAAAATAAATACAATACCACTTCTGATGATATGGAATCAAACAATATTTAAGATCCAAGAAAAAATATTAGTTAAATCAGTTAAACGAGTATATTATCACTAAAAATGATTAGAAAAACACTAGTAATCAGTTTGGTTTCTCATCCCTAGTTTTGAGCATAATTTCTCTACTAACAGGGTTAGTTTTTATTGTTTCTATATGTTATAGGAACATAAATACACTCATTTACCTTTATCGCATCCAAAGCATCAAATGTTGAAGTCGAGCCACGATTAGTTTGTTGAACCCCTAAGCTTAAATCATTTGGGGCATGGTTCCTAGTCCCCTGCTGCATATGTCACACTGTTCTTGTAGCTTTGGCAATTGGGAGCCCATCAGATCTATCGTTACCAACAACTTATCAGTAGTTTCTTTTTCATGTTTTTTTGTCACACCCCCAAACCAAGGATGGCGGAAACGTCCGGGGGTGGAGGACTTCATGTACAGTATCACAACAGCGTATATAATAGTGCTCAAAGTAAATACAACCAACATATATATAATTGAAAAAGTTACATCAAAGTATATGTTTACATGATTCAAAAATCAATTACATTATGATGACAAAAATAAATTGTTGACGGTTTAACGTCCCATCCTCAAAGCAATGAAGTTTTCCTGTTTCACTGATTTCCTGAGAATACAAGTAGTTTTGAAAAGTGTCAACAATTAAGTTGGTGAGTTCATAAGAGTTTTGTTTGAAGTAGAAACCGTTTTTCCTTGTAAAATCGATATAGTTTGATTTGCAGAAAATCCAATATTTTCTTAGTTAAGTGTGAATAGAAATATTCCTTTATGATGCATTAATGAATCCTAGAATGACCCGTAGAGTTCCTTTATAATCGTCCAGCGTATATAAGTTATATAAGGTTTAAATTAGATAAAATGTTGAATATAGTGGGTCTGCCCTAGGTCCACAACCAAACAAGGAACAGGAGATGAGGCAGGCACCACTAATTCTAGGCCAATCGAGACAAAATTCTTATAAGACTCAAACATGTACGCTCAGCGATTATAGTTGAAGTCTAACAGTTCTAGATGCAATATAGTTTTAATATCATAATAACTATCTTAAGTGAACCTGGTACTTTGTATCGGTACCCCCTTTTTGTATAAAGACCCGACACTTTGTATTTGTACCCCTTTTTATATAAAAACCGACACTTTGTATTTGTACCCCTTTTTGTATATAAACCCGGCACTTTGTATTTGTACCCCTTTTTGTATGAAAACCGACACATTGTATTTGTACCCCTGTTTGTATATAAACCCGACACTTTGTATTTGTACCCCGTTTTGTATAAAAACCCGGTACTTTGTATTTGTACCCCCCTTTTTGTATAAAAACCCGGTACTTTGTATTTGTACCCCCTTTTTGTACGAGTATGTTATGTAAATTATCATAAACTATACCTATTATAGTTTATTAAAATGTTTGAAATGTATATATACCCTAACTATACCTATTATAGTTTAGTATATTTCTTTGTGGTGTTTAAGAATCCCAATCTATGTAAGTCAAACGTATAGTACGATATAACTATGATTAACTTGCTTTGTTCTGTACTATTGATTATGATGGAGGATTCTTATAAATTCAGCAAGTAATTTCCTATTATATAAATATATCACGACAAGAAATACATGTAATATATGAAGTTATCAAAGATTTAACACTTTGCTCAACATGTTACAAAGTGTTTTGATAGTTAGAAGCTGTTAATTAATTCTTAGTCTTTCAGCACTGTTTTAGAAAAATCATAGAAAAATCATACGAAGTCGAAAACTAGATCCGTAAATTTTGAGAGTTCCTAAAATGAGTCTAGTTTACTCACAATTTTTATCATGATTTTAGGAAACTTTTAACTTGTCTTAAAATGATCATATTCACAGACTGGTCCGGGTTTGTGTTTGAAAAGACAGGTTGTTTTGTAAAAATCACCATAAATTGTAGAAAAATCGTATGGAGATGTGCAAGTAGTCATTTTAAAGATAAAAACTTGAACTATTTGCACCTTGTACAGTTTTGAAAACAAAAATGGTTAAGATGCCCAAAACAGTCCGTGAATGGAGTTGAACTTTTCTGATGAAGGCTGTTAGAAAAATTTAGTTATGTTCTTGGTGTTTTAACTTGTATTCCCCCCCCCCCCCTGAAAACTTGAGAAAACATGAAAATGTAGGGGTATGAACTCACCTTGAGTGATTTCAGTAGATAAGTGTTGAAGAAGATAAGTGTTCAACCCAAGAACACTTGAAGAATCACTTGAAGATTCGAAGCTTAAGAGTGGAAGAACACTTGAAAATCAGCCTTAAATCTCGAAATTGGAGTGAAAAAAGTTTGAGAGAAAAGTGGTGTTTGATACTTAGTGAAATGAGAGCAAATGAGAGAAAATGAGGAGAGAGGTAGTTTGTTCCAGCTCTAAAAACGTGGGAATGAGTGTAAATTGAGTGTAAGGGACATTGAAGTGACCTAGGTAAGGTGGGGAGGTATGGCTGGTCATAGAGTGGGTGTGGGGTGGTTGGTTGTGACATTGGATAAGGCAAAGTCAACACTCCACCTTTAATAATTCACCCATTTGATTTTTATTATTTAGATAATGATTTGTATCAAAATATGTTTAAATTATGAATATTTAGAGTTTATTATGTTAAAATATAATTTCTGGCGAAAATCCCGCTTTAAAATCACGAAAAACGGGCTTAAAATGTTAAAAATATCAAAAAGGGGCTAAAAGTGACAAATTTCCGAAATCTGGCCGAGGTTCGGACTTCTGATGCTGAAACCGAGAGGAGAGAGGGCAGAAACCGAGAGGGGAGAAGAGAGAGGGCAGGAACCGAGAGGGGAGAAGAGAGAGGGCAGAAACCGAGAGGGGAGAAGAGAGAGGGCAGGAACCGAGAGGGGAGAAGAGAGAAGGCAGGAACCGAGAGGGGAGGATAGAGACCGAGAGAAGAGAAGAGAAGAGAAGAGAGAAGCGAGAACAGAGACCGAGAGGCGGGTAGAGACAGAGAGGCGGAGTAGAGACAGAGAGCGCGAGAAGCGAACAGAGAGTGAGAAGCGACCGAGAAAAGGCGACAGAGACCGAGACTCGGTCTCAGCTACAGGGCTCGGTTCGGTCCTGGGGCCTTTTCGGTTCCTAGTCTCGGTCTTAAGGAGCTTCGGCTCCTTAAGAAGGGTTTCGGTTCCTAAGGTCCCGTTTTCTCGTTTTTACCCCGTTTTAAGCCGTTTTTGACCCGGTTAAGGGTCGGAATGACCCGAATGATTCCAAAAAGTTAAGGGAAACTTTTGAGAGAGATTTGCGAGAGATTTCTCACACTTGGAGAGATTTCGGAGAGATTTGACATTCTTGGAGAGATTTCTCATACACAGAGATATTTGCGAGAGTTTTCACATACTTGGAGAGATTTGGGAGAGATTTGACATTCTTGGAGAGATTTCTAATACAGAGAGATATTTGAGAGAGATTTCACATACTTGGAGAGATTTGGGAGAGATTTGACATTCTTGGAGAGATTTCTCATACAGAGAGATATTTAAGAGAGATTTCACATACTTGGAGAGATTTGGGAGAGATTTGACATTCTTGGAGAGATTTCTTATATAGAGAGATATTTGAGAGAGATTTCACATACTTAGAGGGATTTGGGAGAGATTTGACATTCTTGGAGAGATTTCTAATACAGAGAGATATTTGAGAGAGATTTCACATACTTGGAGAGATTTAGGAGAGATTTGACATAGAGAGAGATAGAGTGAAAACGATTGAGAGATGTTTCATTTGTGACAATTGTAAGTGTTTGGCCCCACAATGCATGGTTCTTGAGCCCCGTTAAGTCATGATTAAGGATCCTACACACTCCTGATGAGTATGCAACATGGTTTTATCGGTTTGGCTTGCCACTTACCGCAGTTTTTAGGTTAAGGAGATCTAGATGTATGTACTTTTCGATTTATGATTTCTTATCAGAATAGCGAGTTGTTTAGTAAATACTGAACGTAAGTCCTAGTACACAAGGGTTAGTTGAGCTGACCGGTTTGACTTGTTGACTTTATTTGACTTTGAATTGACCAGAATTTGACGGTTGTCACATTTTTCCTCTTTTTTTTATCAGTCCTTTGAATCCCTTTTCTCAAGCCAACATCATGACGAATAGCCCTGGTATGACCCGGGTGTTTCGGTCATATTACCTTTATCAACAAGTCCTCTCCTGGACTGAGTACCAAATCTCCTTCAGAGATTTGAGTCTGGACATCAACTTGTTAACGAAAACAACAAACCAGTGAGAGCAATTACTTAGATGTAAATGATTAAAAGAATTTACTTACAAGCTTGTCCACTGTGGGTTGTATGGTAGGCAGTATTATGTTTGACCCCAACTCATTTTTAGATCTTCTACCCATAACATAATGTAGTGAACACTCGCTTTTTACCTAATAAAATTAGGGTGTCAATTGACCAGATGCCATCTTTTGTTCCCACTCAGCTTTCTTGCCTCTATAACCAAGTGATCCTACTCGGGCAGGATTCTTATTATGCATTGAACTCGCCCTCGCTTTCTCACTTATCTCCTGCAAATGAAATTAATTACCAAGTTAAAACAATGCAACACAATAAGTAACATAACTATGTGCAATTAAAGTACAACACACTTAGAACTCCTCTGATGATATTCACTGTCAAAAGCTCTGCAATGTACTTCTTTCCAAATATGAGTAGCTCTCAAGTGGATCTCTTTGGTTATCAAATTTCTTTTTAAGCCTTTTCTTGAAGGCTCTCCACTGGCTGTTGCATGTTCTAAATACATCTTTTCTACGGTTGTCATTCATAATACTCCAACGTTTCTGTTTTTGTTTTAGAATAAGGATGCTAAGTATTAATAACATATCTTCATTAGATGAAACTACATGTAATGGGTCTTACGTAGATAAAGAACCTTAATTGTCAACCATAACATATCTTCTTGAGCAATTCGCACTTTCTTCCAACAGAAATCATCGACCTAGTAATAACACCAAACTCGTTAGCAAACTTACTTTGTTTCTTCCCAACATGCTGACAAATATTGTTGAAATCAACTTTTTGTGGCTCTTTATGGTCGATTAGTCTTGTGGTTGTTCTTTTTTTCCTCGATTGTCGTTGTCGTTGTGGTTGTGGTTCTAGTTCTTGTTGTACCTGTGGTTGTGGTTCTACTTCTTGTTGTGGCTGATCATTCATCATATTTATTCTGGAGGAAATATATAAAGAATAATATGAGACGTCATAAATGTTACACTTCATGTGTTGTTATAGTAGTTGCTTTTTAGACAAGTGTCAAAATTTCAACTGTTCACATGGTGCTCCAAAATGCAATCTTTGAATCAATTAGCAAATAAATCATATAAAGTTTAGAGTACAAACAAAGTGTTCACCTATATAAGCTCAAATAACATATAGGAAATCACATGTCACCTGATACAAATTCATAATCACAAGATATACGCATTTTACTTATATTTCAATTCATACATATAACATATTTTGATTTTTACTTTTTAGCATCAAAAAAACAATGCACCAATCCTAGGGATTCATTAAAAACACATATAAAATTCTCTTAATACCTAAGGGATATAAAGACCCCTACTAGGTGTCTATTTCAATTTCAAGTGACTTGAACTTAATAAAACCTTATACAAATCAGGACAGAACCAGGAATTTTCGACGAGGGTGGCACATTTTTTTCCCGATAAAATATCAAAAGTAATACCAAATTAACAACAAGAAAATTCACTTGTCATATAAAGAGTAATATACAAAGAGGTTCAGTTGCATTCATATTACAAACTTTTGATCCTGAAAAGTTTATAATGTCCTCCATGAACATTACCAATTAAAAAAATAGAAAAACAACATTGATAAAAAAGAAGTCACCTTGAAAGGAAAAATTCTATGTATGTTGTGTCCATCCAGATCATATTTTAGATATAAGCCGTAAAACACTCAAATAATGTTAGTCGTGATCAAAGAGACACAATTTGTTTCGATCTAGTCCTTTAGGCATAACATCAAACACTTGTAAGGCATAATGAAATAACCCTTAATACTTACCAATTTCCAGCAATAAGGATTGCCCACATGGTTTGCTCGACAACATACAAATTACCATGTTAAGAAATATTTATCAAACATGTTTTGAGTTACCCAATTACTTTTGCACCTTTCTGATTCAGACTGTCACTCCAATAATACTTCTTAGAAGTTGCAACAACATCATTCGCATGTATTAGAAAAACCAACAACAAATCAAGGAAAATTATGATGGAAACCAAGGAAATCCAAAATAAAACATGTAAAAATTGATCTCACATCAGAGATAGAATGAATATTGAAATCCAATTAGGGCTTTTTGAAGCTACACAAATCAACAAAAACAAAAAGATGTTAGAATCAAAAAATAAATAGAGAAATCACAGGTACAGAGAGGGAGAGAGATGATGGAAGTCATTGTTGTCTCTATAAACCGAAAACAAATTTTTAAAAAACTAAGAACCCACATTTAAAAACATACAAATCCTGAATTGGTGAAAGAGTAAGAACTCGAGATGATGGTTGCATGATTCCTCCTACTTGAAAAATATGAAAACAAACACCCGATATCATTTTTTTGTAACAGGCAACAAACACAAAGAAAAATCAGAAGGAAACAAATCGGGTGGTGAGTGGTACATGATGGTGCTGCTAAGAAAAAATGGCACGATAAATCAAAACCATCCAACATATAAAATTTAGAAGCTCTAAAGTAGGTTTTTGTTTCTCTAAAGCCCGTTTTCATCAAATTTGTAAAGCAACAATTTTTCTAGAATTAATATTTCATGTTTACTCAATATTTGTTTTTTTCACTGGAAACGGACCCATTTTATGAGCAATAGTGACCATGCGTTAGCGACGCCTATAATAACTTTAGTGGCACTTTATGCACGGTATTTTGTGTGGCCGCTAAGTCGTTTTCTGTAGAATATTCGTTACTTATTTATTATTTTTTTTAGAATTGTAAGTACTGTTAAATATACGACACATATTTGTTTGTATTCATTTAGATGACTACAACTCTAAAAAATTTATGAGTGGTGAACACTTTTTCCATGTTTAATGACTTTTGCATGCGTAAAAAAGATTACGTTGAATAAGAACATTTATGAAATTACGTTAAAATCACATTCATTTTTTAAAACAATTACATTGTAACCTGTCGTTATAAAAATAAAATACTATATATAATTAAGATATAAATAAATTAGAAAACAAATACAAAGAACTCTATAGTACAATAAATAAAATCTAGTTCCTACAACTTGCTGTACGCAAGTCGATCTCCAATAAAAGATTAACTCGGAAAAATAGCTGAATAAATAAATGGATGAACATTTTGAGTAATATTCTATAGTAGAAATATAAACTGGTAACTAATTATGTCCCTCTGCCATGACTTAGACCGGAGTTCTTCACGTCCCAAGAAATATAGCATCGATCAGGAAATCAATGTCCCTTTCCACCTGGACTTGGACCGGAGTTTTTGATCTCTCCAAGAATCTTATCATTGATGAAGTCGTGTCCCTTCCCTCCAGGATTAGGTCCCGAGTTCTTGATATTCCCAAAATAACCAGCATTCGGGTACTCATGTCCCTTAATTCCTCCTTCACTTGGACCTCCACCTATTTTAATAGATGCAAGACTAGATATGTCCATGTCATCCTCAGCGTAATCTATAGGCCTACCAATATTGATTGGTCGAGCAACTATATTGAAGATTAATGAGGTGAGAAGGAGGAGAGAGATGGAGAAAACGTAGTTAATTCTGGCCATTGCTAAATTGGGTTTGGCAATCGATGTAGTTGCAAATAATTAGTTCGGAAAAGAGTTCTTAAATGGAGAATAGAAAACAGTTGTTTGATTGCAAACGGAGATTCAGAGAGAAAGAAGAAAGAATATCTGTGGTAGAATTTGCATGAAGGTAATCGTATATATAATAGTTATGCATGCATGTTAAAGTAACCAGAACGTGGAGCGAAGCAGCCTTACCAGAGTAACCAAGAAAAAAGATTACATTACATCACGTGACAGAATAGAAATTTGAACGAAATTCTCGGAGTTGAAGCCGCCGGTTTATAATCAGTGTGAGAACAATAGCATGCTTCAACCTCGTTTCAACTATAGAAAAGTTGATGGAATATCATATTTAATTAGTCAATCCCATTTCAAAAGAAACATTTGGAAGAAATACATAAAGTAATAATCTTTTGTAGAGTTTTCTTCTTTTGGTTTACACTTTACAATCACTACAAAAAAACTGCCAATTAGTAACGACAGTGAAATGGACACTAACAATAGAAAGAATCGTCACTAAGTGATTTAGTGACCAAATATCTAGTCGTCACTTTTCGCCCGTCACAAAAGTGATTTAGTGACCAAATATATATATGGTCACTGAATAGTGACTAAAATATAATGGTCACTAAATCTTTGACATCCGGTTTCGTCACTAAATCTTGTCACAAATCAGTGAAAGTCATCACTAATTTATATAATTAGTGACCACAAAAAGTGGTCACTAAGTGGTCACTGTTTAAGAAACTATGAGAAAAGACAATACGCTATAATTGAGTTGCTATACATTTTTTATAAATATAACTGGATAGAATTTTCATAACTAATGATAGAAGTAGAATGCTATAAATAACATACCATCGAAAGTATGTCATTGTTTCTTACATATAGATATCAAATTTTTACAAAAAAATATTTTAAAATTAAAAGACATGAAAATAAAAATAAACATTTTCAAGTGTCTTCATGGCCATCAAATTATGATGCCTTGAGAATCTTCATAAACAGATGGACCTTTTTTTTAGCTGAATAAACAAGTTAAAGATAAGTGAAATATTTGCTTCTACATTAACTATTAACTATTAATGCCGAAAATTTGTAAAAATTTAGGTCTTAATGGGGAACGACTCAATTCCCTAAATCTCTTTATAAAGTTGTTATTATTTGTATTAATTGAAAAAGAACTACTCATATACACACCTTATCCATTGGTGTATACGTTTCTTTTTTTACTTAACACAGAAAAAACGGATTAATTGAGAAAGTGGGAACATTAACTTATATTTTCTTTTTCTTTCCTCAAAATATTTTTCACACATCATTTGTACTGATAAAATTTAATGGAGGGGAAAAAACATAAACAAGGCTTTATTGTCTTCATTAAACCATATATATATATATATATATATATATATATATATATATATATATATATATATATATATATATATATATATATATATATATATATATATATAAACAAACATTGATTCTTTCGGTTGTCCATTTATTTAAGTTCTTCTCTTGGTATGTCCCAGCCTAGAAAAGAATTTCTCATTAGAATAATGCATAGTGTCATTGAGAAAAACAATAGAAGAGACTCTCGTACCACAATAAAAAACATACAAAAACAATTTGATGAAAAACTGTCTAAATGAGACCAAATGACCATTTTACCCTTACATTCAAAAGAACAAATCTCATAATATTCATCATCCACTTTAGCCAAGTTTGCAAATGACCATTTTTTCATATATTCACATTTTAAATTATGTTATTAGTAAATACGGAAAACAATAATTATTGGTTTTCCAAAATTCCAACTTCTTTGTAATTTTAGAAAACGTTCATTTTCCGTGAAAAATTTAGAAAACAAACAATTTTTTTTCACATTTTTGCCCTCCCTCAAACAAGACACACAAAAGTGATGAATAAAATCTTTCTCAAAAAAACAAACACCACCCAATTCATGTCCCACTTAAGTCAAAAGCAAACAAGACATTGGTTCTTTTTCAAAGATTCAATAAATTTACAAACGCAACAAGATGACATCTTTTGTAATTACAAAATGTTACAAATAAAGTATATTTTCATTCTCTTTGTAATGGAGACAAGACATAACTCATAACAACTTACAAATTTGCACTCATTTATCCACACATTGGTGGGAAAAACAAAAAGAAACAATGAGTTTGCAATTGTAAATTATGTTTTTGTCCTTTAGTTATTATGTAATTCGATTTTAGAAAACCATTTAAAACCCTTAAAGTGATAATCCTAAAGATTTTTTAATATAATTATAACTTAATGAAGATATTATGGTTGGAGAAAAAACAAATTTACCTGATTTAGAGAATTCTATAGGGTTTCATACTCTGCTGCTAAAAAGACAAAAATCTACAAACACAAGGCAATTGATTTGTTAGATGAAAATTGTTGTTTCTTTTTGTGTGCCAAATGAACAATCTAAGATACAGTAAATGACTGTTTTACCCATCTATCTAGAATTATTGTTATATCAGGTGTGTTGAATGAAAACCTTAAGTTAACCACTTTCAATATTTTTTTCTATTTTAAGCAACCATCTATTTTTGCAAGATAAAAAAATATTTTTTCTACCTTTCAATGATGAATGCAACATTGTCAAACATATATTTGTAAAAAAAATTGAATTTTTCCAACGATGATAATCAATGAATAAAAAGTTCAAAAATAACATATACCATTTGGCAAAGATTCCCGAGTGATAAACAACGCTTCCTCAAGAAAATAAACATATTTTGAGCAGATTTGCTAAAAGAAATCACATTCTTCAACGGCTTTTGGGGAGTGCTCTATAAAAATTTTAATAGCCAATTTACTCTTTAAATTTCATAAAAAAATACATACCTCATAAGCACACAAAAGGCCTAACTCATCAACTCAATAAATGATCTTAGTGTAATACAATCTCTTTCTAAGAATCTCATGCTTTTCATCTGTATATTTGTAATTACTTTATAGTGACACTTACAACTCAATCAGCTGCGCTTCAAACTGAAAAAAAATGATTGAATTCACAAGGTTCAATTTCTATTGTAACAAACATCCGTATTTTTATAATGTTCACCTTGTATCTTGAGGATTCCAGTTTAGCTTTTAGTTCGGAATGAGAAACCTTAGATGGGGTGACATTCTCCAGCTCTGTCCTGTTCATTATTGTGTAAACATTCACATTCACAAAACGAATTTTAATCAAGAAATTTTACATATTCCAAATAACTTTAAAATAAATCCTTAATATAAAAGTGACATATTAGTTTATTACTACTAGAGAATCCAAGACACTTTCTATAACGCCCGCAGATCCGGGCTAGTCAATTTAGAGGCAATAGGGGTCAAAAATGACTTTTCGACAAAAGATTATTTAGAATGAATAATCTTAACCAAGTTGTAGAATATGTCACAAGATTTCCATACAAATAAAGAACGCCGAAATCCGAGTTATAACAAAGAAGTTATGGCCTGCCGAAGTTTTACGGCAAAACCGGCACGGCGCCGGGAGACGTAAATAGTGAATTTACGATAGAAGACTTTTTAGCCTTACTAATCTAAACAAAAGTTGTAGAATATGTTAAACTAAGAACATCGATAAAAAGAACGCCCAAATCTGACTTCATTTGAAGAAGTTATGATTTTTCTAAGATTCGGCTTAGCAGTACACGGCCCGAAACTCGAATTTTAGTTCGAGCGGTTTTTGGCTTATGCAACCTAAATGAGAGTTGAAGATCTCATTAATAGGAACTCAACGGTAAAAAGACAGACGAAAACGGAGTCCGGATAAAGGAGTTATGAACTCTTCGCGGCCATTTAACAGTCTAAACGCCTCTTACTGTTAAATTTGAGATCGGTTGAGAATTAGCCGACAGAGTCTAAACGAAAGTTGTAGATCTTGATTTTACCTACGCGTGGATATAAAGAACGTCGAAAACGGAGCTCGTATACAAAAGTTATGATTTTTCTAAGTTTGAGGGCTGATACGCGATAGGGGGTGACGTGGCACCACCAGAATTGGACACGTGGCACCACCAAAAGGCCACCACATGGACTGACTCGACGAGTCATGACTCAGACTCGACGAGTCCACCCAATTCCTCCCCTATAAATAGAGAGGTCGGGTTCCCTCATTCTTCACACCTTCCTAAACTATTCTTTCTCTCTCTAGACTCTCTCTCTCTAGCCCCCTAACGCCCCTAAAAGCCTAGGTAAACCCCCTAGCACCCGAAGGAAGCCCCGAGGCTCCCGGAGTCCCGAGAAAAGAGCCTTTCGGCTCGGGAACGCTGCTCCAGCGAAGCCCGGTTTTCGAGAAAACCCGCTGTAAGTGAGCTACGCCTAACCTATCTTTAGTTTAACTTATGTTTTAATATAGGAATGTTATTAGGTCCTTAAAATAATTATTTGGGCTATTATTATGAGTTATATTGAGCGTTATTAACGCTTATATAATAATAATAATAGTCAGACAATTAATTTGTTGCGGTTATCATTAGACTAAACCCTAGTGGCATCGATACTAGGTTTTATCGAAGGAAAATCGTTGTGAGAGTATCGAAGCGCTGTCCGAGTGTTGAGTCACCACCTAATCAGGTGAGTGCATGGTCCCTTTCATCTTACACATAGATATGAAGTATTTTAATATAAATTACGTGCTATGTGTGCATATTATCTGAATACTTGCTGTCTATGCTGGATGAACGTTTTATACATGTTTTAAAGGATTTAAACTGTATACGTATTTTATATATACGAATATGTTGGGTATGATGATGGGTAGATGAATGATGAGAGATAGAAGATGACGTGAGTATACATTGGCAGCTATAGACTTAGTGCCTATGCGACAAACACCGGTAGCTATGGACTTAGTACCTGTTAGACGTTGGTAGCTATGGATTTAGTACCTGTTGGTAGCTATGGACTTAGTACCTATTAGTTAGACA